AACAGCTTCCTTAATCTCACAATTGAGGAAGAAGGCTGTACCGGTTTAAAAAAACAACACCACCACCTGACCTGGTTTAAAGGGAAAGAAAGGGAAAGTTGATAGAAATGAATATAAATCGGAAGCAGGGAATTGTAGAAAATTGATAAGGGAGGCAAAAGGACACGAGTAGAACTCTATGGCCAGCAGCGATAAGGACAATAAGGAGGAGTTTTTAAAATATATTGGGAACAAAAAAGAATCCTAAGCATTGTCAATTGTTAGATGAAAATGGTAGAATTGGCAATTATATAGAAAAGGCAGATGTTTAATATTTCTGTTCTGTTTTTCCCCAAATACAGATGATGTAGTCATATCATATAACACTTTCCTTTCCACTAGATCTCTTGAGGAAGTTAAACAGTAACTATGAAAATTAGACATTTTTAAATCACCAGGTCCAGATAACTTGCATCCATGAGTTTTAAAAGAGCTGGCTGAGGAGCTTGCAGGACCATTAATGATGAGTTTCAGTAAGTGCTGGAACACGGGTAAGACTGAAAGAAAGCTAAAGTTGTGTCACTATTTAAAAAGGGTAAATGGTATGATCCAGCTAATTATGGTGTCAGTCTGACATCAAACCTGGGCAAGATAATGGAGTGGCTGATATGGAATTTAATAAATAATTTAAAGGAGGATAATATAACTAATTCCAATTAACTTGAGTTTATGGAAAATAAATTGTTACATTAGCTTGATAAATAGATATCTTTTTTAGATTACAAGTTTGGTTGATAAAGGTAATGATTTAATCCACTTCTGTAAGGCATTTGACTTGGTACTGCATGACCTTTTGATTAAAAACTAAAATGATGTAAAATTAACATGGCACATTTTAAATGGGTTAAAAGCTGGCTGATAAGTCTCAAAAATCTAACTCTAAATGGGGAATCAGCATTGAGAGGTTGTGTTTCTAGTGGGGTCCCGCGGGCATTGGCGCTTGACCCCCTGCTATTTAACATTTATCTGTGATCTGGAAGAAGACATAAAATCATCACTGATAAAGTTTGTAGATGACCCCAGAATTGGTGGAATGGTAAATAAGGAAGAGGACAGATGGCTGATACAGAGTCCTCTGGATTGCTTGTTAAGATGGGCACAAACAATGTGGCTGAATGTGTACATCTAGGAACAAAGAATGTAAGTCGTGCTTACAGAATGGGGAGGCGGGCTCTGTTCCGGGAAGCGGAGACTGAAAGATTTGGGGGTTGTGATGGATAATGAGCTGAACATGAGCTCCCAGTGCGATGCTGTGGCAAAAAGGGGCTAATGCAATCCTTGGATGTGTAAACGGGAATCTTGAGGAGGAGAAGGTTATTTTACCTCTGTATTTGGCACTGGCTCGACTGCGGCTGGAATCTTATGTCCAGTTCTGGTGACTGCAATTCAAGAATGATGTTGATAAATTGTTCAGAGATGAGTTGTGGGCATAATGAAGGGGTTAGAAAGCATGTCTTACAGTGACATAAGGAGTTCAATCTGGTTAGCTTAACAAAGAGAAGGTTAAGGGGTGACTTGATGGGGGAAATACTTGACGGTGGGCTTCTCAGTCTATCAGAGAAAGGTATAACATGCTCCAGTGGCTGGAAGTTGAAGCTAGACAAATTCAGCTTGGAAATAAGACGTAAATTTTTAACTACGGGTAATTAACCATTAGAATGAATTTGCCAGCAGTCAGGATGGATTCTCCATCAGAGGCCACTTTTAAACCAAGAGAGGATATCTTTCTGGGATCTAGGAATTATTTACTTTAAAAACAGCGGCTCAGTGCGACGTCTACCCGCTAGGAAGAGCAGCAGTAACGGGGGGAGCAGGGCTTATAAGTCAGGCATCTCAGTCACATTGTCTGCGCTGTCCACCCGCCATGCTGGCTCATCTGTGCTGCCCTCATGCTGCAGTTTCCTCCTGCCAATCCCTGATGGCCCAGGAGAGGACTAAGTGGAAGGTGCGCCCTGGCAAAGCAGTCTCCCCGAAGGACTGACTGGACCGCCCGGGAGGTGCTTTTGCATGAACTATCCGTCCAGGAAAACAGCCTGGAGGCGGCCACTGCCTCCTGCAGCGGTTCAACAGGGCCCCAGCTTAACTATGAAATAACCCTGCCAGTAGCCCCCAGGTGATGAGGCTGAAAGCCGATTTTTGCAGACGAGGAGGAAGGTTTGGCTGTGTGGGGCTGGCCCTTCTGTCCTGCCCCAGGCTGCAGTGCAGAATTTTTGCTAACCTCTACGCTCCACCCTGCCTGCCAGGAGGGTGGACGTTTGTCCCTGCAGCCTGGAATCTCGTCATGAATACAAAGGCCGGCGATGGCTCCCAGTCCCGCTTCTTGCTGCGTAGCGAGGGGGCAGCCTGTTCCTTTCCAGGAGCTGAGGTACTATGGGATTGTGGCACATGGCCAGCTGTGACCGGGGGCTCCAGAAGAATGTGATGGAGACCAGTAGAACCCAGGTGTCCTGGGGCTCTCTCAGTGCACTGAGCCTTCATTAGAAGTGGGGAGAGGGAGGGGGCAGAATAGTCTCAATGCAACTTTCTCTATACCTAAGCCGCCTGCAGTGCTCCCGGGAGATCCATTGTGAGCAATGGGACAGCCTCCCTGAGAGGCTCAGTCTTAGCCGACCTGAGGCAGGGGTCGACTTATCCAAACTCACCCCAGAGCATGGGCAGGTCTGTGACGGTCTGGCAGCTGACACTTCCTTGGCAGCGCAGGTAAGGACTGAATGGGTCTAAAGGCTGAAATACTCACTTGTCCAGAGAGCTGGCCTCGCTAGAGGCATACCAGGGCAGCATGGCCTATCTGGCATTGCTTCCAGGTCCTGGCACCTGCTCTGGGGCTAGCCGACTCTGGTCTCCTGAGTTACCAGCTGGGTGGATTTTACTAGCAAGTTGGATGCTGCGAGGATGTAGAATGCAGCGCTGTGGGCCCATGAGCTGATCTCCTCCACCCTATTAACCTCTTGCAAGGTGCAGAAACCGAGCTGGGCAGGGCTTTCCAGGCAGACTGATGACAAAGGCATCTGCCCCAGCCCCTCCCCACCTGGATAGGTACAGTTCCCCAGCATGCTGGCTTTTGAGCTAGTGAGCCCCCTAAGAAGTGCTCGTTGGGTTCCAGCTGCCTGTCGTCCCCAAGGATGTTAAAAGGAGCTTCCTCCCCTTGGCTGCAGTGAGACAAATTGAGCTACCGTTCTAGCAGATGCAAATCCCAGAGAAGAAAGGTAGAGTGCTTACACTGGCTGCTGTGAAGCAGTGGGGCTGAGGGTGAAGGATGCAAACAGTCATGCACCTTTACAGTCAGACTCATGTGTGAACTCCAACCTCTGCAGATGGCTGTCCATGGAAGGCTGAGCTCTCCAGTGCAGACCCTGGAGGTCCCCCCGCTATGGAGGGGGGATCCTGGGAAGGCTGCAGGCCTTGACATGAGCAGCCTCTCTAAAGATCAGGACTGTGGAAACCAGCTCTGCCTTATGGAAATGAAGAACAGCCCTGGGATATCTGGCAAGCTGCCAGAACAGCTGCTGGCTGTGCCAGAGTGTGGGGTGTCTGGGCTATGACAGTGCTGTCTAGACTCACCCTGCCCAGACCAGCGCGGAGCATGAACCCTGTCCTTGGGCAGCCCTATTCTGCCTGTCTGCAACAGGTAAACATGCTGCCTAATGGGGTGGGGGTGGGCAGCCCCTGCCCCGCCTAGCCACGACCAGGACAGTGGGGTGGAACTGCCACATTGCTGGACTGCATCGGCTGTTGTCTGCGGACCTTGATCTGTGGTTGCCCCAAGAACCCCTCCTGCCAGCCTGACTCCTTGCAGAAGACTGGGCCTGCTGTGTGCCCACAGAGCCAATATGGATGCCACAGGCTGTCAGCTGCAGTGTGGGACTTTGTTTGAGCCGGTCTTACCAGGGGGCTTTGTGTGAGGGGATCAGGAATTCCTGCACTCTAATCCTGCTGACAGAATTAGTACCTTTTTGGCTTCATCGGTGCGGGGGGCCTCACATCCCACCTACATGTGGCCCTCCACCCCCAGATATGTAGTTAGACACCTGCAGCTGACCCATGCCAGCCAAATCGGGCGGAGGGGCTGTTTAACAGCTGTGTAGATGTTTGGGCTTCAGCTGCAGTCTGAGCTTTGGGACCCTCCCATCTTGTGGGCGTCCCAGAGCCTGGGCTCCAGCCAGACCCCAAACATCACACCACAGTTAAACAGCCCCTGAGCCCTGCGAGCCTGAGTCAACCGGCATGGGCCAGCTGTGGGTGTCTAACTGCAGTGTAGACAGACCCTAAAGTTCTTTCTGAGCATCCTGGACGGAGGTGCTGGAGTGGAGCAGCTGTGGGAGCTGATGTGTTGCTTTCACAAGTCTAACCCTGTTCTGTATTGCCCTACCCAACCCAGGCGTGGAAAGCGCAGTTAGTTCCTAGCCTCCCCTCCCAGTACATCCACTACTGGGTATAACCAGTCCCTCTCCTGTTGCCCATTGAGCTCCCCAAAAAGGGTTGCTGGGACCCATCTTCTGGTGGGCACCACCCCTTGTGTGTGTCGTGCAGTCCAGCTGCACTGGGCTGGGGCAGGAGTAGGTGTGCCTAGACCAGGCAGGCAGATGATGGTGTGAAACTCTCTGGAGGTGTCTGAGGACCTCGTAAACCTTGATGCCTCATTCAAGTGCTTTGGGGGAGGTTGACCAATCCGGCGGAATGCCTACCCACAGAATGGCAGTGCCAGGCTTTTAAAATCTCCTGGCCAGCTACCAGCATAGGTGCATGGATACCTGGGTGGCAAGCAAGATGCCACCAAAATGGACATAGCTGGGTCTTAAGTGTTTAGTTCCCAGTTTTTAACCTTGGTCTTACTTGCTAGTGCGCTAAAAGGCAGAGTTACCCGGATGCTGGCAGAGTCAGTTTTGGGGTGGAGGGCAGGGGGGTCAGTACGGGGTTGTCTCTGTCCCCTCGTTGACTCCTTGACTCTCAGCCCGTGCCAGATATGGCGCTCCAGGAGTGGAGTTCACTGGCTTGCACAAGGAGACTGCTGCCGTCACGCAGATACACTTTTTGCCTGGACAGGTACGTTGCTGCTTTGGTTCTCGTCACCTCGCGTCTCCCTTCAGTCAGGTGCAGTTGCCTCTGGAGGAGAGTAACCCATGTCCTGCTGTCACCAGGGTGCAGCAGCCCATCCTCTGAACTAGCCAGACTCCTGGTCATTCTCTGGCAAGGAAGGCGGCAGGCCAACGTCTCTAACTCCCAAGGACTCCTCCTGACCCGCTGATCCCCCTATTGAGACCTCCTGCCCCTTTCCAATAGCTCTGCTGGGCAGGGCCTTGGAAGACTTTTTAGCAACTGCTTTGGGGTGGGTGGGTCTGGCCAATGAGCCAGTAAGTGGATGCAAGGCTGTGTCATTGGGATGGTTATAAAGGTACCTGCACCCCAATGTCCTAGTCCAGATGCATGGGCTGGTGTGGCCAAGTCCAGCATGCTCACTGCCGGAGCAGGGGCCTTGCTGTGGGGGTGGGGGGGAGGCTTAACTCGTAATCCCGTGACATCCTTTGTTTCCTTGTGTGTTGGTGTCTCTTCCAGGGTCGGCTGCTGTCCTTGCTGGATGACAACACCCTGCACCTGTGGGAGATTGACCAGAAGGATGGCTATTCGCACTTGGAGGAGACCCGCAGCTTCATCCTCCCGGGCCGACCAGGGTTCGACAGCACTAAGTACTCACTGCCTCTTTCACGCTGATCTGGGGAGTTGGGGCTTCACTGTAGCAGGGGCTGGTCCTGGGCTCTGCTGGGTACCGAGTGCTCCTAGGATTGAATTGTGCATTCCCCTGATTCGCTGACCCGGCAATCCATCCGGGCCCTGCCATGGCTCAGGTTGTGCCGGTCCGTAGGTGGGGCCCCCGCTGCTTTGTGCGGCTCCTCCCCCAGCATTGCCAGTGTCCTGTTGGCTCCATGACCATGACCGCCCCTTGCTGCTGGCAGTGCTGCAGTCGGCTCAGTTCTGAGGGAGCTGGGTTCTGTTCTGCTTTGTGCATCATCCAAATGCCGCCCCCCCCCCCACCCCAAAAAAAAACAAAAAAAACCCACCAAAAAACAAAACCCTCCGAGGAAGTTCTGGCACCAGTTTGAAGCTCGCATGCCCTGGGGAACCCACGGGCCGGATTTGACCTGCCAGAGTCTTGCTGGTGGTGATGGGCGAACAAGACAGAGCTCGGCATGGGCCTCTCGGATCCCAGGTTGCGTTTGCAGGGCCAGTAACTCGCCAGCTGCAGTGCAAACGGAGCCACCTTACCCAGGAGTAGCTTGAGGCAGAAACCACTGATGTGTGCCTTGCTCCTTTTGGGACAGGTGGTAGAGCCGCGGAGCGCTGCTTTAAAGCACTCCTCACGGGCTTGGAACGCCAGCTGTGAAATCTTTAATCGCTCTGCCTTGTGAGGCTGTCCAGACAGCCCGGATTTCAGCGTAAAAAGTCTTGGGCTATTTGAACTGAATCGAAATTCCAGTCCGTGCCCTGTTCGTGCCACTCGGTGGAAACAGCCAAAGGGTATTGAAAAGGCTGCACCCCCCGCCCCCCAGTTTAATTTTATCCATCTGGTTCAATCACTTTGCCCAAGATGCAGTTTCATTCCTTCTCCCCTCTGGGAATCTCTATCCTGGCTCTGTGGCTTGCAAAGCTTTCCCTTTTGTACACAGCGGTATAGTTTGCCTATCAATCGGTTGCCATGGGAATGGTTGCAATGGTGGAGAAAATAGACAGAGCCTGTTAGCTGAGATTAGGGTTGGCTCTGCAGACACTGCTGCTTATAAATGGGGAAAGGAAGTATGGATGAGTAACTGACAGGGCAATGCATTGATGTCTGAGTTCAGCTCTTGCTGGACTCTGCAAGTTCTTGTCTTTAAATTTAAACAAAAACCCTCCCGAGCAAGCAGCCAGGATAGCAGTGCAGCTCTCGCGAAAGGTCTGCCAGAGTTTATTCTCAAATCTCTGTGCTGGGGTGAAATTTGGCTCCAGCGTTGCCAGATGCAATAGTTTATTCTTTATAAAAATTATTTAAATCTGCTTGGCCTCTTTTTACTTACAAGGGTGGGGAATGACCAAACAAGCCTAATTCTCATGGGATGGGATGGATCTTTTTGGCCAATCATCAGTATAAACCAAACATGGTTTGAGTTCATTTTAAGGACTCCTCCAACTGCAGATCTTGCTCTTCAGTTCTGAATGTAGCCCAAATAAACTCTGCTAAAGTTGATGATAACTCTTCTAGGTAGGTTTCAGAGTAGCAGCCGTGTTAGTCTGTATTCGCAAAAAGAAAAGGAGGGCTTGTGGCACCTTAGAGACTAACCAATTTATTTGACCATAAGCTTTCGTGAGCTGCAACTCACTTCATTGGATGCATTCAGTGATTCAGATGCATCCAATGTTCAAATAAATTTGTTAGCCTCTAAGGTGTCACAAGTCCTCCTTTTCTTTCTTCTAGGTAGGTAGCACTCGTTCCTTTTTTTAAATGGACGCTGTCGGGAGTTAAATTTTGCAGTGCCTGCTGTTGGTGGATATGCTTCTGCAATCTTTTGGAAAGATAATGGAAGACATTTTCCCAAACTTCAGCAAGCCTCAAACTGCTGCACAACCTGCGATAACCAGAGCAGAATTCATTAGACCCTTTGTTTCTGGGCACTAAATGAAGAAGAGCAAAAATTGAAGGGTAAAATTTTCAAAAAAGTTGATTTTTTTTTTTTTTTTTTTTTGAATTCTAAAATTAAATGCCAGCAAGGAAAGGTGTTTTCTTAAAAACACCAGGTGCCAGGACTCCCAACGCCCTTCTGTCCAATTTTCAGAATTGGTGGATGCTCAGCATCTCTGAAAGTAATCCCTTTGTGTGGAACTTGTGCAGATGCTCAGGGCAAAGAGTTACTCATTCGAGCATTCGGTTGCAACAATTGCATGCTCAAATGATGCATTTTGCACCTACAGCTACTCATCTGAGAGGATCACAGTATTAAAAGTCAAGGGGTAAATTTTGTGTCCCTTTAATGCTGGCTAGCTCTGGAAGATGCAAGATCCTGTTCCTGTGTAACTGTCTCCTTAAATGAAGGCTTTGTTCTTGTGCCGGTTTGCACCATGGAGTGCAGGCCGTGGCATTATTCATTATCTGGGTGGAAAGCCCAGTGAAGAGGGCTGTGGAAACTTGCAGCACACAAAGCATGTGAGAATCGCTTTACAAATGTGGCTCTTCCAGGATTCTAGTGTAGGTACAAATACCTGCTTGTTCCTATTTACCTCTCAGTACTGTAATTCCATAACCTGCCAGTGCAGCATCTGGGTTTACAGAGACTGCCTGGATCATTGCCTGGGGCCAGCTTTATTTAGATCTCAGATTTTCAAGAACAATACAAACTAGGAGCAAAGGTTAACTGATCACTTACCTGGACAATGAGATCTCCTAAGGAGAGCGGTACAAGTGACCCCACGTACTTAGAAGCAGGGTATAGAAACTGGCCCAGCTATTGATAATGCTTATATAATGGACAACTTGGAATGACTGATCTTGGCAGTAGGCCTGTCTCATTCCCGTTTCCAGTGAGCTGAGCAGGCTCCATGGAGACAGCTTAATTCCTGGTTCCAAATCCCACGAGGGAAGGCTGTTTGGGGGTGAGGTGGGGGTGAAGCGTTGCAGTCAGAGAACCAGCTGCTGCAGCAGTGCCCGGTTGAAGAGGACTAATGAGGTGGGATGTGTAGGGTTACAAATCCCAGGTCAGAGATGCTGCTCGCCCGCTATGGAAGATGACTGTAAAAGGCAACGTCTGAGACTGAACGGCCTGGAAAGGTTAAGGAAGTCTCTTGAGCTCTAGGCCATGCGTAGGGTACTTCCCTGAGTGCCATTTGCTGCTGTGGAGGCTCACTCCGTGAGCTGGTGCCTCCGAGGGAGGCGGGGACTCCACGCCCCGTGGCATGCCAAATCTCCAATAAACAACTGTGTCAGCCCAGATACTGATGGGGCTTGGCTAGAATGGCCTATTGGCTTCCTTCCATGCTAGCCAATGCTGCCCCCTGCTGCCCCTGCGTTGGCACTGCATCCAGCAGCCCTCGTTCACGAGGTCCCAGCGCGATCCTGCTGATGGCAGAGGAGGGGTCTTCAGGACTAATTGACATGCAGACCCACACCCTCCGTTGGAGCGTGTCATTTTATTGCTGGAGTCTCTCTCTGCATGCCACTGCTGCAGCTGCTGTACACTGAATTCCCCTCTTAAAATCAGGCCCAGTGCTAGAAGCCGAAGACCAGCGCCCCTTTTAAAATACCCTCATGCCCATGCAGGATTTGTGTTAATAGAGAGCAAGAGGCTGCTTGGCTAGATAGGCTCAGCTTCTGTGATGGAGGGTGGGCTGGGGAGAACCGCACCAGCTAACTTACTCCAGAGGCTGCTGGGGGCCGGGCACAGCAGGCACCCGGCGAGAATTGCCCCAATGCTGAGATTCTGTTAGACCCTCAAATGGCTACTTCTACTGGGTTCCATGACTCCTTCCTCGCCTCGTTGCCTCTGCTGGCTTGACAGCCAGGCGGTCCCCAGCCTGGCACAGCAGGGAGCTTTGTCTGATTCTCCTTTCATAATGCGCGGGAGCTTAAAGAGCGCACAAGCTAGAATCTAAGTGACCAGGCGATTGCTGTCCAGGGCTGTAGCGATCCTCTCCCAGGTGTCTGTGGTGACTTACCTGTCCCAAACCGCTTATTAATCGGGTATAGACAGAACTGCTTGCTTCTCTTTGGCCTACAATAGCCCACGTTGGGTCGAAAACCAGTTATAAACCCCCAGGTATGAGGTCTCCCTGGCTTCGTTTCCCCAGACTCCCGAGCGCCACGGTCCATCTCCACTGTGGTGGAATGTCTGTGCACAGTCTAGGGTCTGTTACCTTCTTGCTGGGCCCCAGTAGCTGGGGCAGGGCTGGGTCATCGGAGGATGTGCTGATGGCAGGAGCTGAAGCCAAAGTCATAGGCATTGAGGGAGCTCTGCATCTCTCAGCTTGGGTCCAAACGGACGTGGCTCTGCTTGTGGCCAAGCTTCTCCTCCGAACGAGTCTGCTCCTCATTCGGGACCCTCTGGCATCTCGTGCCCTGGGGGGGTCCATAAAAGGGAGTGACGTAAGCCCACGCAATATTGGCGGTAGGAAAACAACCCACGCTCCTCTTTGACCCATGGTGCAGCCGGTGCGTCTCCGGGAGGGAATGGGAAGTCCTCTCAAAACGAGCCATTGCAATTTCGCATGTAAATGTCCAGCCTGTAAACCGGCGCAGCTCTCATTGTCTGAATCTTGTCTTCCTGGTAGCTCTCCTCCCAGCATTACCCGGGTGACGGTGATCCTGCTGAAATCTGCCTGTGATGTGGCCTGCCTGGGCACGGAAGGGGGTGGCGTGTACTTCCTGGAGCTCTCTGGCTTAACGCTGCTGGAAGATAAAACCCTGTATCAAGAGGAGATCATGCAGAGGTGAGCTGGCCTGGAGAACTGGTGCCAGTGGAGATCAGCTCATGGCTGTGGGCACCAAGAGACACGGCAGATGGGGCGGGTTGCTGGCTGGGGGCAGTGGAAAGAGGCATCCAACCCAGGGTTGCATTGGCTGCGGTTGTACCTGTTAAATGTTAGCTGTAAAGCTGGGACGTTGCCTGGCAAGTGTAGAGAGTCTGCAGCTCTTCAGAGGGCTGTGCTGAGCAGCTTCTTAAGGTGGATCTGAGATGCCTGGAGGCTGCTCCCTCGGAGATGTTTCTGGAGATGCCGCAGCCCCATGACCGATGGGTAGCAGCTATGTAGGTCACTGCCCATAGTGGTGATCTAGTACCTCTCCACCTTTACAATACCCTGTCCTCTCCCAGATTCCTGAGCAGGACTTGCGAAAGACCAAAGCGGAGAATCCATCCCAGGTCTTACATGGAGCCTAGTGCCCGCTGGGGCAGGACTCTGGGGACTGGCCGTGCTAGGTGTATCCTTGTGCAGCACAGATGATCAGTGAAGTTCAAGTTCAGTTTCAAGCCTGTCCCTTGATTTAAGGGGCTCTCTAACATGCTTTTCTCTGCTTGCATTCCTCCTGGCCCATTGGAGGGAAGAGCTACTGATTCTGTGCCCATGGTTAAGAGGCTGGTCGGTCTCTGTCCCCACTGGCTGTCAGAGATGTTAATATCCTGATCCAGGGCTGAGAGAGGACCATCTTCTTCCTCCCCATTACAGAACAGCTGAACTGCGCGGTCTCTCCCGCAGCGCTGGGGAGGGATTAGAGAGGAGAAAACAAGGTACTTGGCTGCATGGCTGTTAACCAGCCTGGTGTTCCCCCACCCCTTTGCTTCCATGCTAGCGTGCCAGACGACTACCGCTGCGGGAAGGCTCTTGGCCCAGTGGAGTCTCTGCAGGAACACCCTCAAGACTCCTCCAAGATCCTGATTGGCTATAGCAGGGGGCTGATGATCATGTGGGACCAGAGCACCAGAAATGTCCACCACCTCTTCCTGGGCAATCAGGTACCTTGAATGGGGTTTCATGGAGAGCCGAGAACACCGTGTGCTGTCCCGTGAGTGTCCCGCTTATGCACGAACACGGGAGCTTTGGCCAAGCCATCTGCGCTTGATGAGTTTCTGTGGCTTCCCTCTAAGCCATCTTCCCGCGCTCTGCCATACCTGGTGACTCACCTGCTGGAAGCTGGTGGCCCGGAGTTGGAAGAATGCTGCTGGCCTCTTCAATGAGGCTACGCTTGCAGAGTCCATCACACTTGCAACCAGGCTCCCTCCTCAGGGAGACAGGAGGACTCGCAGGCATCAACCTGTGGCCAAACTGAACTCAATGCGTTTGACTTAACTCTTCTAACTTACAGCTGGAATATTGCAGTGGTCCCCAAACCTCCATTACTGACCTGATCTTCCATCTCCGTTCTGAAGTGTTGTGCCTTGCTCCCCATGTCCCTTTGGCAAAACCAGATTCTGCCCAGGCTGTGTATGCATAGAGGGGATGAGATGGCACAGCTGCTTCCTGTAGCCCCGTGTCTCTCTCCACCTTGGGTTTATTGGCCACATCTGTTCCTTGCAGCAGCTGGAGAGCCTTGGCTGGGAGCGGAGCGGCAGGACGGTGGTGAGTTCGCACAGTGATGGAGGATACATGGTGTGGTCCATCAACAGTAGTTGCCATAAGACTCTGCAGCCACTTATGTCAACTATCCCCTACGGTGAGTTTGCTTTGCCTCGGGACCCACCCGCCTTGTTCCTTTGCCTTCTTGCAGTGGGCCCAAGGGCAGTTTTACCTTCTAATAGAGTTTGTCATTACACCACTTCTGACTTCACGCTTGCTCCCGATACCTTGTTGGAGGGGAGGTAGATATGGTGCCACAAGGAGCCTCTTGACTGAGCCGTTAACTCACGTGGTCAGTCGTGCTGTTCTCGACAGGGTGCTCTGTGAAACTGACCCCTGATGGCCTAGGGCTTGGGAGAGGGTTACTGCAAGTGTCGTACAACTGCCTGCAGACCTGGCTTGCCAGCAAAGTCTGAGTTGCTAGGGCTCCCTGCTTTAACTTGGGCTCTGACGTGTCTGTGGATCTTATAGCTACATCTTGAGGATCCCAGCAGCGTTGTTCCCCAAAACAGCCCCCCTACAGAGGGCAATGGAGGCTCCCCTCTGGGCCCTTGGAGATGGGAACATGAAGCAGTAGGTTTAGCCTCCTACGTGGTGCGAGATGGAGTCGCATACTGTGGCTGGACAGTGATCCCTCTAACTTAGGATGACTTGGCTCTCCAGCTTCCTTCGGGAGGTGGCCACTGTCCTGTTACCTGGATGGATGGAGCAAGCCTGCATCACCAACCCCGGGGCGTTTCCCCAGAAGCTCTTTCTGTGGGCAGAACCCTACCCCATCTGCGTGGCATGCAGGTGGGGAGGGAGGCCTGAGTTTGTATCCCCTGTGGACCCTAGCAGGCTAGGGAAGGGTTACGTAGAGGCTGCTGGAAGTGCTGCTCAGTAATCTCTGGGAACTTTCGATTGAAAGCTACGTTAAAGACTAGCTCGGAGCGGCTCGTGACGGTTGTGTCCTTTGCCCAAGTCGGGCTGTGAAGGCTGCTCTAATGGAGGGGAAACCAGACGCTGTGTATGTCAGCACAGAGTGCTGTGCTGAGCATCTATCCTGATACTGAAAGGAATATCTGGGAGCTTCAACCAGGCTCCAGCTGAGGTGGACAGGAGAGAAAATGTACTCAAGCCTGCTGGGGGAGCTGCTGGGATACAAATGGGAGTGGGTTGATTTACAGGGGCTAAGACAGCGACCCCTCCTAGGAGCTGGTGTTGAGCAGGGAGGATGGCTTTAATGTGGTGACTCCTCCTTCATTCCAGGTCCGTTTCCCTGTAAAGCCATCAACAAAATCCTGTGGAGGACCTGTGAATCTGGGTATGTCCCCTGCCGGCGCCGGTGAATGTTTGCCACCTCCCCAGAGGTCTGACCTTGGTTCTGAGCTGGGTGCTTATCTCTGCCACAGCCCCTGTGGCAAAGGGCTGTGTCTGCGGGGGACTGTCCCACCGGGCTGCGGTGGAGTGCTCGAATTAATGAGGGGTATGGGGGGGGAATGACTAGAGGGCCCCTTAATAGAAGCCGGAGACTTTATTTTCAGGACAGGCACCCAAGTTCCTGTTTTAAACATTCTTAAATACAACTGACACTACCTGACAAATCACATTTTCAGTGCTGGCAGGTAAACTTGTGGACTAGCTAAATGGTGGCCCCCGGTGCCCTTGAATAAGACAGAAGTGGGGTAGCCCCTAAAAGTAGGAAGGGGGGCTCGGTCCACCCACTTGCTGCTCAGGAGCTGAAGTTAGTGGCCAGTTTGTAGAGCACATGGCCCTGGGGAAGCTACTGGAGTCATTCACCTGCAGTCAGGTGATATGCTGGGCAGAGGACATGCTGCTTGGCTGTGATGAGGGTTAGGACCCAAGTAGGGGGAAGGTTGGAAAGGTGGAGCTAGGGGGGCCCTAAACCAAAGCCTGGATCCAAGCAAGCTGGAGCTCCGGGATCCAAATCTGGGTCTGAAGTTTTGTAGAGGGGTTGAATCGAAAACCCTGGACTCCAACGCAGGGAAGTCTGGCTCCTGACCTGTCTTGACCCCAAATCCATGTAAGCCGTACATCCAGCCCAAGTAGCCATGGCATGTACAATGCCAGCGTCTCAGCCTTCTGAGTCGGTGGGGGAGGGCCTGCAGACCCAGAGTGAGCGTCGTTGCTCCATTCGTCACGTCTCCGTTAATCCAGGCGTTCCCTTGCTCTGGAGAAACGTCCATTCGACCAGCCTTGCTGTGATCTGCTTCTTCCTCGGGGCAGGCTGGGCTCCACTGCGCAGCACTGCCCGTGTCCTGCATCTGCTGTGTTCATCTAGCTCCCCCCCCAGTCTGTGTGGGGTGGTGGGGGGCATGTAGGACGTCTCAGCAGAACTGGCCAAGCTGCTCTGCAGAGCGGGGACAAGGGAATAGCATGAATGGTCCCTTCACCGGCAGGAAGCTCGTGTGAGGAATGGCTCTGGGCTCGGGGTAACTGGCTTCATTCGTGGGGCCTGGGGGCATGTTAGCTTTATGCAACCACTCTGCTCGTGGCCGCATTGCTATAATGTCTGAGGGCCTCGCGCTCTTTTTCATGTGGGCTCCTCCTCGCTCCTGGGAGGTAGGGCTGATGTCCCCATTCTACAGCTAGGCAACCGAGTCCGAGACCAAGTGACTTGCCCAAGATGGCACAGGAAGCCTGGGGTAGAGCAGGGGTCAAACCTGGCTCTCCCCGTGCCTAGGTTAGTGCCCCAACCCGGCGTGCTCTCCTTCCTCTGAATGGAACAGAGCGTGCCTGACCCAGGCCCTCCCGGGCGCAGCTCCGCATTCAAAATGCCATCCACAAGCACCTTCGAGCAGAACTCTCCCTGGAGGTGACGCCCTTTGTACCGTGCAGGCAGCTAATGTTCGGGCATCACACGCCCCGTCGGGAGAACGGAGTGTGTTGGTGTCCCGGGGCTGGCCAAAGTGCCCTGCTACCTGGTGTCCTACCAGGCCCATAGAGCCTTGGCTTATTGCCCTCAGAGGTGGGTCTGGCTGGGGATTTCCTGAAGGGATTGGGCACCCCACTCCCATTGCGTTTTTGTGGGGCACCGAATTTCCGTAGGGGCCGGTGAGGTCTCCAGCCCCAGCCCGTGGGTGGGGGGAAATCCTAGCAGCAAACATGCCAATAGCCAGCTACTTCTCCCCTGCCTGCAGAAATCACTTCATCATCTTCAGCGGAGGCATGCCCCGGGCCAGCTACGGGGACCGGCACTGCGTCAGCATCCTGCAGGGCCAGAGCCTGGTCACCCTGGACTTCACTTCGCGCGTGATCGACTTCTTCACCGTGCACCACACGGAGCCGGAGGAGGGTAGGCGGCCCGCTCTTTGGAACCGAGCGCGTCTCGGTCTCCCTCCCCAGCCTGATATCTCGCTGCTCTGCCTTCTAGAGTTCGATAACCCGAGTGCCCTGGTGGTCCTGGTGGAGGAGGAGCTGGTGGTCCTCGATCTGCAGACGCCCGGCTGGCCTACGGTTCCTGCCCCCTACCTGGCGCCCCTCCATTCCTCCGCCATCACCTGCGCCTATCACATCTCCAACGTCCCCCTGAAGCTGTGGGAGCGAATCATGGGCGCTGGAGAGCAGCAGGGCCCCCGGCATTCTTCTGGGGTAGGGGAACGCCCCCTGCTGGAGAAAAGCCACTGAGCTGTAACTGGGTCTTGCCAGAAGGTGGGTGGGGTCCTTACAGCGACTGGCACAATGAGCCTGACTTGGCTGAGGACACTGGGAGCCTCTGTGGGGAGCTGTCACGCGGATCTCCTGGCTCCTCGAGCAGCGTCCCGTTGGGCTGTGCAAACCCATCTCGATTTGGCTTGGATGCCAGCAGCAGGGCGGGAGGGGGGCGCGTGGGTGAGAGCCCCAGTGGGCTTGTGGAACGGGCTGTTGCTTAACGTCCCCCGCCCTGCGTGGGTGGAATCTGTCTTCTAGAACTGGCCGATCAGCGGAGGGAAAAACTTAGCCCAAGAACCCACTCAGAGGGGCCTTCTTCTCACGGGGTAAGTACCGCTCGGCCACCAGCCGTTTGAATGGCTAATCTTTCCCGGAGAGCTGGCCAGTGCTGGGGTTTTCACTGGGTCTTGGTCCCTGGCAGGTGTCCCAGGGAGCAGCGTGTGGGGGTATCGAAGGGTACGTCTCCACTGGGATTAAAAACCCATGGCTGGCCCATGCCACCTGGTTCGGGCCAAGGGGCAGTTTAACAACACCCGCCCCCCCCCTCCCCCCCAGCAGGGTCCTAGAGCCTGGGCTCCAGCCCTAGCCCGAACGTCTACATGGCAATGAAACCGCCCCTTAGCCCAAGTCAGCTGGCACGGGCCAGCGGGGGAGTTTTAATTGCAGTGTGGATGTTCGTGAAGACGGGCGTGAGGTATAAATACACTGGCACAAAGCAGGGAAACCCAGAACTACCCAACCTGAATCCAGCTGTCTGGCAGGTGCTGGCCCCATGGCTGTCTAGCAGCCACCCCTCCCACAGACTGCCCAGTAGGGGCAGCAAAGGGACTGGGGCAGGGCCTTCAAATGGCTGGGGCTTGCGTCGTGCCCTAGAGGCAGCCAGCGAGGGATTCTGCCAGCCCTCCTCCAGCGTAGAGAGCCACATCTCGGGGGTGGTGGGGTGGGCCTCTTCCGCGCTCAGGTCTGGCTGAACAGAGACCCCAAGAGCAGACCTCTCCCTGGCTGACTGAAAGTCATGGCCAAAGTTGGTCCTGAAGGGCGTTCTCTGCTGCTGCAGAAGGGTAGCACTGTGTAGTGGCTAGAGCAGGGGACTGGGAGACCTAGGTTCGATGCTGCTGAATTGCAGAGTGGGGTATGTAAGCCAGGAGGCCGGGCGAGAGGTGTGAGTGTGGACGGATGCCAGGGGAGAGGTGGGGGAAGCCCTTCCTCAGTTGGGTGGCCTAGCTAACAGTCCTCCCTGTTGAGCCTGGCAAGGATGCGTCACTCTGTTTATTTTTCCTTCTCCTCGCTTTTGGTGTTGGTTTTATCCTGGCTCCAAGTTGGCGACGTGTTGTCAAATGCATCGTTGGCTGAGCGCTGCACCAGCTCCTCCGAACATGCAGGCAGGGCTTGTTAGCGGCTGCAGATGTTGAGGCTGGAGCAGGGGAGGTGGGGGCGAAGGAAAATTTGAGACTAACATGGTCATCCTGGGTGTGGAGCCTGCTGTCCCGCTGGGACGCATGCCCACCTCAGGACTCCTGGGTGGCTCGCTGGCCTGCTGACCGGGAGCCCGGCCTGGAGCGGAGTTGGCAAGGGCAGATTTGGCCGTATCTGCTCTTGCCCTCTCAGCTCCGCCCGCTGCTAGATGGGGCAGGCTGGGGATGGGGCGTCGGAGGGGCTGATACGTTACAGATGAGCCACGTCTGGGTAGTGGTGGCTGATGTGCTCCCAGCCTGCCTCGGGAGCTGGCTCCCATCGCTGTGCTGGGCCGTTGCACAGAACGCCTGGACGGGGAGCCGAAAGCAGCCGGAAGCTGTGCTCTGGACAGCCGACCGCAGAACACCCCTTGCTGTTCCGAGGGCTTAGCGGCCTGTGGTTATGGCTTGTCAGTTGCCCACCTCGAGCCGCCGCGAAGCCACGGAGTGATTGTTGGGTGGCTTCTAGCCCTGACGTCGGCAGGGAAATGTCAGCTTGGCTAGTTGTTGCTGAGGAACTGCTTCCCTTAACAATTGTGGGAAGGTCTAGCGCTACTGAGGTGCAGCTGGCTTAAGCCAAGCTGAGTGTGGGGCCGGCTGTGCAGCCACGTCCCTCCCTCCTGACCCCGGCCTGCCGGAGCCATCCAGCTCTGCGACGGCTCTGTCCTGAGGGCATTGCCGCAGCGGCAGATCGCCTGGTCTGTGGCCCAAGGACCGAGTCCAGAATCCAGATGTGCTGTGGACCAAGGAGATCTTTGCCTCACCTCGCCACCCTCCTGAGCCAGCTGGGCGTGAATGCTGGTCTCCTGAGCTCATTCCCGCCTGCTCCCTAAGCTTCTGGGCTGGGGTAGGGAGGAGGGTCCGAAATCGGAGCAGGCGGAGATCAGCCCTGATGCCTGTGGGGAGCAGGAGAGCCACTGGGCGGGAGTCAAAACTAGTTCCGTGCTAACAGATGCGATGGAGAGTCTGTTCCCCTCTTACACCTCTCCCTTGCAGAAGTGGGCAGGCCAGGGCATTGTGGCAGCCTGTAAGGCTAGGGGCTGGCCTGGATGGAGCAGCTTAGCTGGTCGTATGTGGGGAGTCAGGACCCCGGGCAAGGGACAGACAGCTCTCCCAGCTTCTCTGCACTGAGCGGCACGTCTCCCCCTCTCCCCTCCCCAGGCACGAGGACGGCACGGTCCGCTTCTGGGACGCCTCGGGAGTGTCCCTGCGGCCGCTGTACAAACTGGGCACGGCCAACATCTTCCAGACCGACTGTGAGCACAACGACAGCCTCAACCAGGCCAGCGAGGAGGAGTGGCCTCCCTTCCGCAAGGTACCACCCTCGGTCCCTGCCCATCCCCGGGGCAGTGCTGGCAACTCCGTGTGGGGCCCCTTCACAGGAGCCATTGGGCCTCTCCAGGAGTGTCCCTGTTCTGCCATGTCACAGCCCGGGCCCAGCTGGCTGAGGATTCCCGGGAGGGAGGCCCGTGGATCGGAGAATCTCCCCCATGCCAGGGTGGCTCGATGCAGCCCAGGGCCATAGTGGGTGACAAGATGCTGCCATCTGATGGGGAGCCCAGAGAGCCAGACTCGCTCTGCACATCCGCCATCGCAGACCACCTCCCACCCCAGGGGACCCTTCTGCTGCCTCTGGAGAGAGGCCAGGCCATGGGCCATAAACTGCTTTCGCCTTCTGAGCAGGGCCGGAACAGGCTGTGTGGGGAGCATGCCCTGCCGCTGTCCGGGCGGGACCTGCTCTGTGCCTTCAATTGCCAGCGCTCCTCTTGCCAGCTGTGGAAATGCCACGAGTGTGGGCAGGGTCAGGCTGGCTCAGACGGACTCTTCCCACGTGGGCCAGGCCAGTGCTGCTGCCAAGTGCCGCCTCCTACTTCCAGCCCCGTGGGCACAGGCAGGAATGAGGATGCCTCTGGGATTTGGGGCAGATGCTCTTCTGCAAACCCCTTTGGTCCCAGAGGTACGAATGGCAGCCCAGAGTCTGCATGGCAAGAGCCCCTGGCCTTGAAAATTTCCTGGGGAGGACCAGGGAAGCAGCTGAGGCGTTGATTGGCCAACTTGGTGCCCCACGGTTGGCCGACTCAGTGCCCCACGGTTGGCCAGCTGGGTTTTAAAGGGGCACTCTCCGTCATAACCATTCCCCTGCTCAAAGGCAGGTGCATGCCCTGGTATAAGGCCCAGTCTCCTCGTGCCCCGGCCCCTGAGCCCAGCCATGCTGCCCGCTGTGCTTTTACACTGGTGTAAATCTGGAGTGACGCTGATTCACGGGAGTCCCTCTGCAGTTCAGTGAGTGCAGCCTGGCCCCCTGATCCCTGAAGGAATGAGATTCGAGCCCTGTCCCTGCAGGAGATCTGTGCTGGTCGTGCTCCAAGCCCCGTGGGAATGGGTGGCTGTGAGCTCCTCCCAGCCGTTTGTCGAGTGACGGTCCTGCGGATGTCCAGGGAAGGTTAAGTTCTCTAGACCTACAGCAGTGGCAGCGTTGTCCTGTTGCTTGATCATCGCCAGGTGTTTATGAGCATTAGACAAACAGGATGTATCTTTGCTGCTGGCTAGAAACCCTGGCGTCCAAGGATCTCCTCCACCTGGTGATCCCTATTCTACGTTCCTTCCCTGCTCCTCCGCTGGGAGCCCTTGCTGGGGTAGAGACCGTTCTGGCTGGAGCTGCACTTGGCCACATTGGTACCAGGCTTGCTCTCTGGGTATGAGGGACCAGAATAGAGAGAGGTTTCTCCCGGGGGAATCTCCAACCACTGCAGCTCTGCTGTCTGCATCTGACTCAGCATCTGTGCGCTACGGCAGGACCGCACCGCCTGGGGTCCCCTCAATACCCCTGTGTGTGTGCTGATTCTGGGGGAGGGGGCCAGAGTAGTCTGAGGGCAGCCCCTGCTGTCAGCATCCTGGAGAAGAGCACACTCAAGTCACATAGGCATGGATCCCCCAGGCCCCGTAGGCAGGGCTGGAAAGGGGTCGTCTGGTACCAGCTAGTAACAAACCTCCCATTGTCCCGTAATGCAGTTGCAGCATGGCCTGACACTGGCCATGTCTCCAGTGTGGTCAGGAGGCAAGGCTGATGGTGAAAGCTGGGCTTGCCTGCTCCCCACACCCCCCCACCCCAGCGTGAAGATGCTTATGATAAAGGTGTCAAAGAATCAGTCTTTTCCCATCCCACCTCTGATATGGTGCACGCAGCTTCTTGCCTGTGTCTGGGGCAGCGCTGGGCATCTCACTAGTTCCTGGGCATCCTTGGCTGGGTTGCTGGGGCAGGGCTCTCATGCGAGTAAGGTGGGTTTAAGTTTAGTTGCTGGAGGAACCCTGCTGGCTCTTGGCCATCTCGTGAAGGACTAGAATCGCTGGCCTGTCAGCTGTGCCTGTATCAGATCTGCACCTGTCAACGGGAGCGTCAGTCCTGGGGTGTCTGTCCAGGCCCGTCCCTAATGCAAATAGAAGGGAGCTGTCCAATAATCCAGCCCAGTGTCACAGATCGGGGCCCCTGGCAAGGGCCGGTCCTGGCAGGGGGTTAAGATAGGATCTGAGACCATTGAAGGGAGGGGGTTGAGGGGGGTGTGCCCGCACTGGGAGGAGTCAGTGTGTGCAATGGCTTGCCGGAGCCCTGGACGAAAGCGGTGTCCTGCCCTCTCGCGCCCCTGACCCCCTTTTCCCATCATCCAGGTTGGCTGCTTTGATCCGTACAGCGACGACCCGCGGCTGGGCATCCAGAAGATTGCACTGTGTAAATACACGGCCCGGATGGTGGTGGCTGGGACTGCGGGGCAGGTAGGGCGGCTGTGGGGGGCGACGCTCTGGGGGAACAGCCAGTCAGCCCTGTACTGTTGCTGGGCTTTGCTTAGGGGCAAAGTTTGGGGAGGGGGAAGGGAGTGCGGGGGCCAGGGGCAGAGCCCAAGTATTTGGTGGGGAGGGTGGGATTCTCAGGCCATGCTCTTGCTTGGCTGTAGGTGCTCTGCCTCTTAAAAGCGGTTCTCCCAGGACTAGAGAGCTGATGCCAGGGCATGTGTCTCAGCTGTCCCAGTGACCTGGCCTGTAGGGTGAAGGGCAGCACCCCCTGGCTGGTGGCATCTCCCCAGGGCTTGGCAGACTTGCTGGGGGTGGGTTTGACTTGGCAGGGGAAGCTTCGTACGTTTCCCATCAGCTGTGGAGTGTCTGCTCTGTCTCCTGCTTCTGGGGAGCCATCCAGCTGCAGGGGTCCATCTGAGCAGGGATAAACTCCTTTGTTAGGGACCAGCTGTCGTGCTGTGCCCCACTGGCCAGCCAGCCCCGCTGGCAGGAATGTACCAGTCGCTTCCTAGAGGAGAGGTTTCCTTGGCCTAGCTGCCACTTAAGACTCCATTGCTTGATCCTCTACCCCTAGCTCGCTTTGGCAGGACGGGGTAGGGAGGGCAGGGGCACTGAGCACTGGCGCCGGGGCGGGCATTGGCTTTGGGATAAGGGCGGGTGCTGCAGTTGAGGGGTGCTTCGGAAGAGCCTCGGGCCTGCACTTGTCTGCCAGACCCGGGGCTGCTGGTGCCTTGCTGTCACGGGCACCAGGCTCCCAGCTGGAGGCCAGGAGCTCTCCCCTGAGAGAGAGATGCCGGTAGCGGGGAGATGCCTTGGTGGAACTGGCCCTCAGTGCCACGTCTGCCTCTTGCCAGGTGCTCGTCATGGAGCTGAGCGACGAGAAGTCGAATCACATGATCAACGTGGCCACGGTGGACCTGCTGCAGGACCGGGAGGGCTTCACCTGGAAGGGGCATGACCGACTCACCCCCAAGAACGGCTCCCTGACCTTCAGCCCAGGCTTCCAGCCCAGCATGCTGGTGCAGTGCATGCCGCCGGCTGCCGTCACCGCCGTGACCCTGCATGCCGAGTGGAACCTGGTGGCCTTTGGCACCAGCCACGGCTTCGGGCTCTTCGACTATTACCGACGCAACCCGGTGCTGGCCAGGTAGGGGGACCCTCCCCAGGGGACCGGCTCCAGCCATGGAGCACGTCACGTCCAGCTCGGTCCTGGCACTGGGATACCGAGCTGCGTGGCGAACAAACACGACAAACCCTGTTGCTCCTTCCCATGGCAGACGGGCAGGGCCGGGCTCTAGGGAGGTTCGGCTCCTTTCTCCCCTGTGCTCAGGGAGGGGCACCGTCCTGTCCCACAGCAGCCCTCTACTCCCCCCTGCAAGGAGCAGGGCCAAGGATTCTCCCTGGGAACCTTTTAGCCTTTGACTGGGGGTAGTGGCCACAGCCCGTTGCTGTACTGGGAGAAGCTGAGATATGAGCTGGCGGGGGGCATGTTGACCCGTGAGTGGGGCAGAGGGAGGTTTAAACCTTGTGAGGCTGGTCCCTTTCCCATGCACACCTAAGTCCTAGGGGACTCGGCTCAGCGAAGCGGGTGCCGCAGCTTGCCAGCGGATGGTCCCGTGCAATGCTGCAGCCTCCGGCTGGCTTGTCCACGTGCCGCCGGTGGTCCCCAGCAGTCGTCCAGTGCTCGGCTCGTACTGATCTCCTGCCTTCGGAGCTATTCTGGGCTCCTTACCGCTGCAGTGGAACGAAGGGGGGTTGGGTAGGCCAGCAGTGTCCCTGCTTGCCAGTGGGGGAGCCCAGGTATCCTGACTCTAGGCCGAGCAGAGGCTGTGGCTGAGGGATCTCCCGACCCATTACTGTGCTGACGAGGCTTGGAACAGACCAGCAGGTGCCTGGGGGTTTCACCCCCCTCTGCTGCCGCTCTCCTGCCTCCCGCAGAGTGGGTGTGGCTGTCTGGGCTTGCTTGGGGGGGAGGGGTGACTCTGCGGCAGGGCCCACGCCCCCCGTTGTCACTCCCCAGGGCAGAGCTGTCCATCTCCCCCCGCCCGGCGGCCGCTGCTCCGTCCTTGTGTTGGGAACCTCTCCAGACGGCACTGGGAGGGCTGTTCCTTCTCCTGCTGCAGCCGGGGGGCAGAGCGCCACATGGGGCAGTGCCCCGTTGTGGGAGCGTGGCCAGGAAGAGGGTCCCTCACGATGGAGCAGTTCCTTGACAGGGGGGCAGCAGGTGCTGACCAGGGAGCGCCTGGGGGTCCTGACTGGCTCGAACGCTTGTGGAGCGTGTTCTAGACACGGTGTCCCAGCCGGACCCAGGGTGCATCCGCTAGCCAGGCTGCTCGGGGCTGAGCCCCCTACAGCCACGTCACTGAGTGCTCTGGGATGAAAGGGGCTAGCCTGGGGACGCCCGATCCTACTGTCATGGGGTGGCTGAGAGGTGCCCTCGGGTGGGCACAGCCCACAGAGGGGCATTACTGAGGAGGCCTCGGAGAAGCTGAGGTGGGAGGGTTCTAGTCCCAGTTCCCCATGTTTGTGGGTTACCTGATAACTGCCTGTTCCAAGTGACATTCGCGGGGGGTCTACATGGCAGGCCCTGCCGAGCCGCTAGGGCAGAGCTAGGCATTGGCATGGTTGGGGAGAAGGCCGGGAACAAGTCTCCCCTCTGTGAACATGGCCAGTCCTCGGGGCTCCCCACTCCTGCACCCCAGACCGCGGCGAGGCCCTGGCTGGCGCTGAGCAGCTGTCCGTGCCCCCACAGGTGCACGCTCCACCCCAACGACTCCCTGGCCATGGAGGGGCCCCTCTCCCGAGTGAAGTCTCTGAAGAAGTCCCTGCGCCAGTCCTTCCGCAGGATCCGCAAAAGCAGAGTCTCCGGCAAGAAGAGAGTCGTTGCCAACAGCTCCTCCAGCAAGGTAACCGCAGGGCGGGGCACGGTGGGGGACTGTCCCATCCTGCGCCTGCCCTCCTGGGGTGGGGGCGTCCCCGGGAGGGGGGCGGTGACCTCTCGTACCTGAACTGCCGGGGCGGTGGGTTGGCTCTTTGACACAGACGTCCTTTGTCCCGAGTGCATTCGAAGAAGCACTGGGGTGAGATGTGAACGGAGCAGGGTGTTCGTCAGACTGTTTAAAAATAAAACTGCCCCTTCCCTGTCCCTTGCAGCTGCTTCCTTGCCGCCTCCACTCAGTAGCGTCCCCCAGGGCCGGTGGGGCCTGAGTTTCTAATGTATAAACCAAGCAGAGTCCCTGCTCATGCTTTTCTTTGACGCACGTCTTCTGGGCAAAGGGAAACTGAGACCCGGAGCGGCTAAGTGACCTGCCCGAGTTTCCACAGGAAGTCTGTAGCAGAGGAGAGAATTGAACCTTCCACGTCTCTGACTAGTGCCCTGACTATCCTGCCCTGCCTCATAGCTTAGCACTAACTCCCAGAACCCGGAGGGTCCCCTGCTCTCCCTCAGGGACCCCAGGAGGGGCTGTCCTGCGGGGCTGCTCCCTAGCTGACGGAGGGAGGAAGTTGACCCCTGGAATCCAGGCTGTTCACAGAACTGGTGTCTCCTCCCCCAGGTGCAGGAAGCCAATGCCCAGCTGGCCGAGCAGGCCGGCCCCATCGACGTGGAGATGACCCCCGTGCAGAGGCGGATCGAGCCCCGGTCGGCCGACGACTCGCTCTCGGGGGTGGTACGCTGCTTGTACTTCGCTGATACCTTCCTCCGAGACGGTAAGGCCTGGCCGCAGCTCTGAGTGGGAATACAACCGGGCAGCCAGGAAGGGAGTCCTGTGAGGCCTGTTGGCACAAGCCCTGCCATGCTGAGCTAGACCTACAGCTCCTCTGGCTGGACCCCCTGTCTCCACCAGCCCTGAATACAAGATGCCCAAGAAGCAGGCGTTCAACACCCCGATCCCCAGCTGGTGCAGCACTGTACTGAGAAGTAGGGGTAGTTTCTTCCTAACCTTGTCTGGTTCTCACCTTACACCCTGAGACATGAGGATTAATATCGTTTCTAGCTATGCTGTCTAGTAGCATTGCAGAGAGAGAGTTCCTACTCCATAGAAAGGTCTAGTCTTTAAACCCTGCTTACTTCAGTAAAACCATGTGGCAGAGAGTTCCCCAGGTAGCACTGCCTTGTGCAGTTCTTCCTTTGGTTGGTAGACTGGCCAGGGCTAAAGACCCTGAGCTCAGAAAGCGCGGCTTGACCCGGGTTGCTTCTGGGGCTCTTGTGTGGGTTGATGATGTGCTAATACTCAGGGCTGCCTGGGGGGAGGCAGTTTGCTCCGGAGTCCCCCATTTGCGAGGGCCCCCAAACAGAACGGCCCGGTACAAAGCTGAGTGGCACTGTGACCCCGTGTGCCCGGTTGCAATGTCCGGAATGGGGAGCCAGGCCCAGCCTCGTGGGATAGAAAACACTGCTGTGGGGTGAGGTGTCTCCAATACTTCCTCGCCCTGGGGCCACCCCTCAGTAGTCTGGCTTTTGGGGGGGCCCAGGCCCCCCAGCACCTCTGCGCAGCCCTGCTAATGCTGCTGCTTTCCCCCTGCTCCTCAGCCGCACACCACGGGCCCACCATGTGGGCTGGGACCAACTCGGGCTCCGTGTTCGCTTACGCCCTGGAGGTCCCGTCCCAGGAGAAGTTCTCGGAGCGCTCGGTGGAAGCGGTGCTGGGCAAGGAGATCCAGCTGATGCACAGGGCGCCGGTGGTGTCGATCGCGGTCCTGGACGGGCGGGGGAACCCTCTCCCGGAGCCCTACGAGGTGTCCCGGGACCTGGCCAAAGCCCCTGACATGCAGGGCAGCCATTCTGTGCTCATCGCCTCGGAGGAGCAGTTCAAGGTAAGAGAGGGGAGGGGCCGATGGCTGCGTCCCGCGCTGTCTGCCGTGGGAACCCTGCCGAGCTGCGGCCTTTTGCCGCCGTTACTCTGACCCGGGTGGCGTCTGTAGCGGGAGACGCTGCCTCCTGCTGGCTTCTTCCGCGGGGACATTCCCATTCCCGAGGGAAAGGGGTGTCTGGCAGGGGGGAGGGCGGACATTGCAAATCCTGGCTTGGGTGGAACCACGTTGTGGCAGGAGCCAAGGGCTCAGCTGTGACTTTTTCAGAGATGAAATGCCCCGGCTTTGGTGCAGGGCATTTCAGCTCTAAAAGAAGTGGGTGTCCAGGGCCCGGGCCTTTCCACAGACCACACCTCCCTTGGAGCTGGGCCTGGCTCTCGGGAATATACTTCCTAACCCAGCAGGGCAGCGGCCTCCCCCTTGGGAGAATGATCCCTTTAAGCCAGCCATGGGCTCTCTAGGCTTCTAGGCTGGTGGCTGTGGGCTAGTGAAGGGCGTGGACATGGCATACTCACACAGCCATTGCCGGTGCTGATGGCTAGCGCCCTGGTACACCTGACCGGCCTTGATCCTTGCCAGTAAGACTCAGCCGGCCTGTGGTTAGGGCCCCTATGAAGCTTGTGGCCACACACAACATGGGTCCCTTGCCCCATAGCAGTGGGGTGGGGAGGCAGGACCGGGTCTCCACTCTCGAGCCGGCTTGCTCTCCGCCTTGACCCAGGTGTTCACGCTGCCAAAAGTCAGCGCCAAGACCAAGTTCAAGCTGACGGCCCACGAGGGCTGCCGGGTGCGGAAGGTGGCGCTGGTGAGCTTCACCAGCCTGGCGTGCGAGGACTACACTGAGAACGGCTTGGCGTGCCTCACCAACCTGGGGGACATCCACATCTTCACGGTGCCCGGCCTGCGGCCGCAGGTCCACTACGACTGCATCCGCAAGGAGGACATCAGCGGCATCGCCTCCTGTGTCTTCACCAAGCACGGGCAAGGTGAGCGCGCCGCGCTGGTGGGACTGGCGGTGGCCGGGACATGGATTCCTGGCTTGGGCTCCTTCGGCTCCATTCGCTTGGCTCCAGGCTACCCTGGTGTGGGAGACGGTGCTGCGCAGTGGGTAGAGCGCTGGGCTGGGACCTGGGAGCTGCCCTCTCATCTCTTGGCTGGCAGGGACTCTCCGTCTGTGCAGTGGGGCCCTGATCTCCTCCCTGCTGAGCCGGGGCAGCTTTGGGGAGCAGTTCTTGGGGGAGCTGGTGCACTGAGATCCTGCTGGTACATCGAGACGCCAGGAGAGCGTAAGCCGCCCTGGTTAATCTGTCCCAGTGGGCAGTGGACCCGCTGTTGAGTCTCTCTGGGCTCCCTCTCCCCAGGCTTCTACCTGATCTCGCCTTCCGAGTTTGAGCGATTCTCCCTGAGCGCCCGGAACATCACGGAGCCGCTCTGCTCGCTGGAGCTCGTCCGGCGCCACGGCACCACCTGTCTCAGGTAGGCCAGCCGGCCGCCCGGGCTGCAGGAACTGCAAGCTGCTGCTGCCTTAAGCAGGGTGTCGCTGGTGGGGAATGCTGGGCGTGAGCAGGCTCCCAGCACCGCTGGTCCGAAGCAAACTGGCTGCTGCCAGTGTCATGGCCTCTCTGAGCAGCTGGCCGGTCTGGCTAACTGCCCCTAGATCCCAAAGGCCCTGCCCTCTGTCGAGCTGGGGTTGACTGTGGGCCCGTCTGCAGTTCGGTCCCCTGCAGCAAAGTGCCCCCTCTCCCCACTTCGCTGCCCTCCCCCCAGCAGGCTGGGAACTGGCGGTGACAGAAATAACGCTCTTTTCTTGCTCGTCAGCCCCAGTTTCACCGGGACACCGAAACTGACGCAGGCCAACGGGACTCCCGTGCTGCAGGGCTCTGAGGCGAACGGCTCCCCCGGGGATGGCACCCGTAAGGAAACGGCTCTGACTCTCTGAACCGCTCTGGCCTTCCGCCGAGGGGCTTGGTGTACTGCTGGCGGAGCTGGCCTTCCCAGCCGGCCAGGCCTCTGCTGCCCGGTGATACAGATGGGGAAACCGAGGCGGGGGGGGGTTGGGACTCGGCTAAGATCTGTGGGGATCATGGCAGAGGAGGGTCCTTGTGCTTTTCGCTGCAAGGCTGCTCTTCTCCTTCCTAAAGCCCCTGGGAAGACAGTGGACTCTAGCTGCCTAAGGGGACGGGGTCTCTCCCTGGCCTGTGGTGGGATGAAGTGTTGCTGGGTGGTGGATATCTTCCCCTCTCCAGTGCATGCAGCATCTCCAGCCCAAAGACCCTCTGCCAAAGTGGACCCCTCCGACAGGCTGGCAACTGGGTGCCCTGCTGATAGCCAGGAGGCCGGAGTGCAGCCTGGCAGAGTGAGCTGTCCCACTTGGCCCAAAGCACACCCCGTCTTGTGGACCGGGGACCTCCCTGCCCCGGGTCCGAACAGCTGCTGGGACAGTTTGGGTCCCCAGGAAGGCTCGTCCCATGGGTGCTGGCAGTCGGGACGCTCCTGGCAAAGGAAGAGGCACGGGCATCATTGGCACGGCTCCAGATGTGCTGTCTCTGAGGGCAGGGGGTGTTGTCCAGGGGAGCCGTCAGCTCCTTGCTCTGCTGGCCTGGGGTGCAGATGCCCGGCCTGCCCTCTAGCTGGGCTGGCACCATGAGGTGTGTCCTGGAACCAACCCCAGTGCTGCGTGTGTTCTCCTCCAGGAACGCCTGAGGAACCCCAGGCTGCCTTCTCCCTGGCGCCCACCGACTCGCCAAACAGCCCAGAGAGCCCCCTGGACACCACCGGGGACATCACTGTGGAGGAAGTGAAAGATTTCCTGGCGTAAGTTTGGGCTCTGGGAAGTCACTGGTGCCACGAGCCTGAGTGTTCTCGGCTGGAGGGCTCCGCTCTGGGGCCTGGCAGCATCAGCTGTGCCGTTGTTGCTCCTTGGGCATAGTCACCATCTAGGCTGGGGGATGTTTACGAGATAGAGGAGTTCCCCGTCTGCCAGGCTCCAGTGGCTTTGTTCACCTTCCCCGCACGCAGCCCCGCCCGGCCGTGCCGAGGGATCGAAGCGCGCACTTGATTATCGCAAGCTGCTTGACTGGAATCCGGTGAGATGACGCCTGCGCTCCTCCGGGGGGCGCTGTGCATGCACAGAGCTGCCCACCCTGAGGCCAGAGCTCTCTGCAGTGTTGGATGGGAGAGGTGGTGAAACCACTAGCCATGCTGCGCCTTGAGGGTGGCAGAGGATTTTCACCCTGGTCTCTTCCCCAGGGCCCACCTCCCCGGTCCCTAGCTATAAGGGTCCCGCACCCTGGTCAAACCCGGGCTGTACGGACAATGCAGCCTCTCTGCTGGGAGCCCCTTGGCCAGGCGCATGGAGAGCCTGTGAGATAAGGCCGGTCGAGGGGGTCCCAGCGCATGTGTGCACATCTCCCTCCCTCCCCCCATGGGGCTGGGCTTGTGCAATGCTGGACGGCCTCCTGCCCCAGCCAGGGTCGCTCTGTGCGTACCACAGCCTGGAATCAGCCCTGGCCAACAACACGGCTGGCCTTGGACCCGCTCGTGAGCTAGTTCGCTGTCTGCACGCAGTGCTGCGGGAGCCTCGCTCCTTAAGATGAGAGGCTTCAGTGCGCAGCCAAGACCCGGAGAGCTCATCTCTGCGGGCAGCTCAGCGATCCTGCCCAGTCGGCCTCTCCAGCGGGCGTCCACGGGAGCGACTGGGGGCGGGGACCTTCCCAAGCAGCTGGACTCCGTCCCCCAGACCCAGCTGTCTCCGTTCGCGGGGAAGCCGCTTGGCGCGTCCCACGTTTGGCCTCGGATGCGGGCCTGCGTTGTCCTACTCTGGTGGGGCACATGCAGATGGGTGATTCGACCAGCATCCCCTGCCAAGCGGGAGCAATGGATCATCTTGGCTTGCCCTTAACGTCCGGGAGGCTGGGGGGTGTCCGGAGCCCAGGAGCTCTTCGCTCGGCCGTGCTGGCCCAGCGGCTGGGGGGCGTCTCTGGGCCAGCTCCTGACCGTGCTTGGGACCGGAACGGTCTGTGTCAGCGAGTCTGTCTTCCAGCTCCTCGGAGGAAGCGGAGAGGAACCTGAGGAACGTGAGTGAGGAGGAGGCCCACTCTCCGGGGATCCTGATTAAATGAGGTGTGCGGGGAGGCAGGGGGTTCTTGCTCTGCGAGCGTGGCAGGGCTTGGTGCAGTGGAACCTGGTGCCACGCTCTCCCGCGCCCTGAATCCCTAGGCCCTGGTGAGAGCTCGCTCAGGGAGCCTCTGCTGGTGGTGCCTGTTCCACCGGGCCGCTGGAGCCCCGCGCCTGGCTTGTTCTGCTCGCTGTGGAGCCTGGCTGTCTGTCCCCCTCCAGCACCTGTGGCCAGGGAACCTGGGCCGGGCTCTGCTGGGCTTCGCGTGAGGCTGTGCAGTTGCCCCTGGGAGGCAGCTGTACTGGATCTCCTTGGGGTGCGGGGTTAGCTGGGCACATGGCGCTGCCTAGCGGTGGAACCCCCTGTAGGAAGCCGGGCCCCAGCGTCTGCACTGCAGCTAGGGAGGCTCCTACCCAGACGATGGACACGGGAGCGGAGTCGGTGTCCCCAGCCTGGTGCCCCCGTGAGCCTGGTGAATGGCTCCATTGTGTGCCCGGCCTGGCCTGCCCTCGGGAGAGCTGCCTGCCAACCTGCGCCAGGCGCTGGCAGCTGGGAGACTCCTCCCCCGCCCCCATGCAGAGCGAGGCTGCGCCAGACCCCAGTGGCTGACCAGCAGAGCCGGGCTGCGCTGGGCTCTGGATGGGCTGGGGGCTGCCCTTAAAACCCCCAGGCCCCAAACTGCTGGAGGGAGCAGCAAGGCAGTGGCAAGGCTAGAACTCTGAGGCTCCAGCCACCTCTTCTAAGGGAGAATCTGTCAGTATAGGGACTATGACCATGAGTTGAGCGCTCCTGATTCCATCCAGCAGAGGGCCTCATGCACACCGCAATACTTAGAGGTGTGGCCTGAGCACAGGGCTGGGCTGCAACTCCTGCTTCCCAGTCCATGCTCAGATTCCTTCTGTATCCTGGAGCCAGTTGTTAAACTGCCCTGCCTCAGTTTCCCCCTCTAAAATGGGGGTCATGCTTACTGCCCTCAGTGTGGTAGAGGTGAGGGGTCGGCTAATGTCCGTGTAAAGGCCATGGATTTGTTCCCCCCCACAATTGTTAGCCGGGTAAGGGGTGACTTCTGGTGCAGCCTGTGGGAAGCGATAGCCTCCCCTACTCTACTGAGGGTTGGGGGCAGGTTACCCCTCGTCTGCCTGATGCTGTCAGACAGGGCGCTGGGCCAGATGGCCGGCGGCTCTGCTCCAGTCTGGGGAGGCCTGTGCTCCAGATCACCGAGTCGCCCCTCCAAGCTGAAATCCTGCTCTGTTCCCATGTGCTGATGCAGGGGTGCTTGCCATGAGGCGGGGGCCCCCCAGCCTTCCCCAACCCCCTACCACGTGTCCGGGCTGCAGCATGGGATCTGTAGGGGCCCGGGTCAGCAGGACTGGCCTGGATAAATGACTGCAGTGACAGAGCGGGTCGAGAGGCAGAATTCCCGTCCCTTGGGGATCGCTGGCGTTCAGTGTTTCCGTTAGGAAACGCCTGATCTGCTCTGTGCACCTGTGAGTCAACCCCTCCCCCCATACTTGCTCACTGGCCCCCTCGGGGCTGCTGCAGGCTAGTGGATTGAGCATGGGGCTTGGAATCAGGATTCCTGGGTCCTGTTCCTGGCCAGACTTCGGTCCCGTTTCCCCAGCTGTGAAATGGGAGCAATGCAGGTCCCCAAGTGTGCTGAGATGTTGCACCCAGTTCCAGGTATCCCTCCTCCCAAGGGGCCTCTGCTGCCCCCATGGGGCAGTTTGCAGTGCTCCATTTAGGGCCTTAATGTAGTTTAGGGAGCTGCTGCAATTGTGTCTTGCATCATTTCCTCTTTTAATAAAGGCAGCTGGGCAGTGCGTTGTTAAAGGCAGTGTGTTAATTTAATGGCTGGCCCCCAGGGGATCTTCTAGGTTTAATAACGGGCAGCACGTGCTCCTGCAGGGAGGGGGATGGTGCGCTCTGGGGGAGCCTCCGGCCTGGTTCTGTGGAGCCCTGCAAGACAGGGCTCAGCTGGAGAGCCTTGTACTGCACCCGGGCTAGTAGTGTAATGGACAGGAGTGCCCTGGAGTATCACGCCTGGGGTGCTGTACTGATTTGCACGTGCTCTCTGCAGGGACCGTGCCGGCTCGTCTCCCGCCCCTGGATTCCACGGACACGAGACTTGACTGAGCCAAGCTGTCGGCTCCACTTCTCCCCAGAGACCCTCCGCGTAACTTAAACTCGCCTCCTCTCTAACATCCGGCCGGGAAGCTGGAGCCTGACGCCACCCCACCGCTCCGCCCCGGTTCGAAGGTTCTCTCTCCGCCGAGCCGAGCCGCCTTCCGCCAGCGGGCCCAGCGCAGTGCAACACTACAGCTCTCGCCCCCCACCCCCCCCAAAGCAAAAACCGGACCTGGGGCTGCGGGGTGAGATCACTGCTTCCGCCTGGCCTAGACCGGGAGGGAATGCATCCATCTCCAGGGACCCCATTGCTGGAGCGCGGCCTCACACGGACGCCTGGGGGGAGAGTTGGACACGGTCTGGGTTGGGGTTGTTTTTTCCCCTTCTCCTCTGCTGAGCTCCCAGAAGGACTCTGGTCTGGGGTGGGGGGCGGGGGGATAGGGACACTGCTTGGCCTGGGGGAGCAGCTTTTCCAATACTTCGACTTTCCTCGGAACCGGCTGGCCTGCTGCAGACGGTAAGTCTGTGAGCGCTGGCTGGACTCGCCTTAACACCCGTCTGCCACTAGGGGGCCCTCTTGCTCAATACCGGATTGATATTGATTCCTCAGTGGTGTTGACGGCATTTCTCCCCCCGGCCCCCCAAATAAACTCCAGAGCGTCTCACTGGCACTGGAGGTGCATCAGCCACGCTAGGGTCCAGCTCCCTTCCTAGCACCTTTCCCTCCTCCTGGGGGGCAGGAGAGCCAAGTTCCTGCTCTGGGTTAGCAGCCTTTATTTTAGGGGCCTGGTTGCCTCTAGGGGCCTTCATCTTCCATCTTCACAGCTGGCTCCAGCTGGGTTCCCCCGTCCCCCCCCGTCCCCCTTGGAACACCTTTAAATGAAGGAGACCGGGGCAGTGTCAGTCAGCACCAGGCACGGCTCGCCCAAGATGGGACCCTGCCATGCTGATCCAGGTGTGGGTGACCCAAGGCCAGTGCCTTCAAACAGGCGTGCCTAAGGGGCAGATGCCAAAACAAGGGGCTGTAGACTCTTCCCGCCCCTTCATTGCGGTGCTGAGCAGCTGTCTCTTGAGCTCACCACCTCTGGAAACCAGTCCCAGCGATTACGCACTTTGGTTTCCGACGCCTCTGGATGAAAACGGCCTGAGACGTTTGCCGGCCTGCACTAAGGCCATTTCTGTGCAGTTGTGAATTTACGGGCTGCTCACCGCCTCAGCCCGGTGTGAGATGGGGCCTGAGTTCTGCTGGAAGAGGGGTGCCTTCCTCTGGTTTCAACCAGGCTTTGCAATAAGACAGGGGTCCAGCCAACTCCTGCCGCTTCGGGGCAAAGCCTCCTCTGAAGTGGCTTCCCACGCAGCCTGCTTTTAACAGGGGCCACCCGACAGCCCCTGGCCCAAGTTACGCTTTTAACCCCATGTGGCGTTTGAAACTTCCCTGTCCACTGGGCTGAAAGGTGGCTGCCGGTCAGGGACGTTCATTCCCAGGCAGCGGAAGTACAGGTGCCTGTCGATCAAAAGGCTTGTTCCTGGCAGACCGGCCCGTTTCAGCGGGGATATTTTAATCCATTTCCTTAGGATCCTGTTTTCCCTTCAGCGCCGCTGCACGGGTGGGACAAGGCTTTTGGATGGGGCGGGGGGTGGCTCGGTGAATGTTGAAGATGGTTTGTTTTGACTTGGTCAAACCTAAAATTGAGGGCCGGGGGGAGGCCCAGAGACAGCTCTGAAGAGCTCACGCTGAGCAGCTGTTGAGGGGTCGGTCTCGTTTCCAGCAGTATTAGTTTCCTTAGTTGCTCTGAGCAGGGGTGTAGAGCAAAGCACGGTGGCCGCTCGGGATTCCTGTCTCTAAACTGGATTGGAAGGTGACTTCTGGCACCGAAGGGGCCAGCTGGCTTGGGCTCTCCTGGGGCTGAAAGCTCCAGCCTTCGGAGCGTTCTGGCAAAGCCTCTCCCCGCGGGGCTGGGAAGGAGAAAGCGGAACTGAACAAGCCAGGCCCAGGGCTAAAATCTGGGTTGGCTGCCATCTCTCTGCTTTGAGCTCTCCATTCGTGGCTAGGGAATATCCCCTGCTGCGCTCTGTTCTTCCCACTGGGAGGGGGGAATCTCGCAGCCAGGTCACCTGTTGGTGGAACCAAGCTTTAGCCGCCGAGCTCTCTTGTGTCCAGGGTGCGCACTTGTTCCCCCCCACCTTGCAAGGGCTGGAGGCCTGGAGCTGGAGACCAAGGCAGGCCCGGGATAGAGCGAATGCCATACCCCCTCAGTGCCTGATCCAGGTTGCTTTCCAAAGTGCCAAAGGGCCTGTTGGGCCCTGACTCCCGGAGGCCTGAAAGCCCTGGTACCTGAGCTGTTGTAGGAGTTACAAGGGCTGGGATGGGGACATCCCCCTGCAGCCCCCTCACCATGCCTTTATGGGTCATCAGCCCCACCTCTTACCAGTGCGAGCAAATGCCCATCTCCCCTCGGCCGGCCTGGGAATGGCACCTGGCTGCCTTGTCACATGGCCCCTGGTGCCAAACCAGCTCTGGGCCCACCCCGGTTCTCTCTGCGGCTCTTTGGGAGGTGCATGTCCCTGAGCCTGGTACCAAGAGAGCGAACTCTGTTACTCAACAGCGTGTCGGGGGTGGGATGGGGGCTCGGTTGGCCAGCGGCTGATACTTTGAGTCTTTGAAGGAACTGGCTGGGCTGGGGGCAGAGGAAGAATCTGAATGGCACAAACTCTCTGGACCCCACCCGGCTCTGTGTGCGAACAGTATTTTTCTACACTCGACCTTTGCTGCTGGAACTGATACTTTGTACAGCTGTTTTGGTACTAGATCTGGGGAGGGGGTTGGGGGCAGGAGGGGGGAGAAATGTAGTCGCCATGTGCCATGGGGTCCCCTGCAGTCTAACCCAGCCCTGTGGGATTCTAGTGGCCGCAGTAGAACGTCCCCCCTGTGTCTTTTTGGTAAGATGAATTTAGCATTGTCTAGTTATGAAATACTGGTTTTTAATATTGAAAATAAAGCATTTAATATCTCTTAGCTTTGGCTGTGCCTGTCCCTGCTCCCACCCATCTGAGCGTTTCCCTCCCTCTACAAGCGGGATCTGGGGGTGGGGGGGTCGGGCAGCAGAAGCCCTGTGCTCAAGGGTCGCTGCACTCCAGCCAGGAGGCTGGGATCTGCCCAGGGAGCAGCCGAGCCTGGGCCGGAGCCTGGCAGCACAAGGTACCTGGTGCTAGGAGAGGAGAAGGTTAAACTTTGCCTGTTCTCCAGGCAAAATTCACTCCCGGAGGAGGCAGCTGGCCCCCCTCCCCCCAGAGCACAGCCCGGGACATGCAGTGCCTCCTACTGGGGCAGGAAGCTGCCTCCTCCCCTTCCCCTCTGTACCTACAAGCCCTAGGACCTGGGTGTTGGTCCCTGCCCCCACCAGGCTGGTCCTGGCTGTTCACCACCTGGCTCCTCTTTCCCTTGCGCTTCATCTTCCTGCTCTGAACAGATGGTCCATCGCTAACCTGGGCGCCAAAGGCCGGGTGCTGGGATGGCCATTGGGGCAGCCCTGGGGTGAGGTTAACGCACAGCCCCTTCTATGCTGGGCGGGGTGGGGGCAAGTAGGGAAACCAACTGCTTTCAAAGGGGAGTGGGGAGGGGTTTGTCTGGCTTGGCTAAAGCCATAGCAGCTGGGGTGATGCAGGGCATGGGGTTAGGGGGGCTCCCAGCCAGAGCCTGCATGCATGGTCCTTTCCACTGCCCAGCGTGGGGCTGAGCATGTGCCCTGCACACACGAGGCTGCTGTTTGCACTCAGAGGAAGAAGAGGCAGGGCCCTCTGCAGCCCCCAATGCGGCACACCCCCCAGGTTAAAACAGAAAACCACATGCCCAGGTAAGCAGCAGCCTTGGATTGTGGCCAAACCTTCTAGTAGCCCTGTGCTGTGGAGAAAGGGAAGCGGTTGAAAGGCAAGCCATCCCCACCCCCTGTTCAGCTCCTCTGTGGAGGTGCAGTCAGGCACCTCTGTGTTGTGTGCTGTCCTGTCCGCAGGCATCACCCCTGCAGCTCCCATTGGTTCTTGGCCCATGGAGGTGGTGCTTGGGGTGGGGGCAGTGTGCAGAGCAGAGCCCCCTGGCTGCCCCCTGTGCATAGGAGATGGAGGTGGGACATGCCACTGCTTCTGGGAGCCACACAGAGTGGCTCACTGGCTGGAGCGGGGCAAGCTGCAGCCCCCACTCCCCACCCTTGATCTGGTGTAACCTGTTGCACTGTGCAGGTCCCAGAGCCCTGATCCCACTCCTGTAACAGTCCCCTGACCTCTGGCTGAGTTACTGATGGCCTCAGCACATGGTGGATTCTCTGTAACTTGAAGTCTTTAAACCATTTCCACAAGTTAAACTGGAGTGCGTGGCCAGGCTTGGTGAAGTGCAATCTTTATTGATATGATACAGAACGCAGCATCCTGGCACAGAGCCGGCGCTTACAGTCACTGTGAGGGGGGGGCTCTGAGTGCAAAATGTGCTTCTCGACCTTGAGTGCAAAGAGGTGGTGGGGGGGGATGGCATTTAAACCCTCTCCTACGGCTCTGCAAGTGGCACTGTCCTAGCGCAGGGGATCCAGCCAGCTGGTTCCAGTAGCTGCAGCAGGTAGGGACTGCTCGGAAAGGTCTGTGCTAAAACCCAGGTGTCCTCAGTAGTATTACAGTGCCCCCTAGTGGCCTGCACTGGCCACCCCAAGAGCAGGCTTCAAGACTCAGCATGGGGCAGGAGACAGGTGGTGGGAAGCTGCACTGCTGACTAGGCCAGCAGGTGCTGGGGACACTCATGGGTGCCAGCTGGTGCTTGCCTGGATGGATCCTGTTTGCACATCCCTGCTAGAGCCACTCCCAAGTCTGGCTGCCTGACTCCATGCTGCATGACAGCAGCAAAGCCCCCACCTGCCTCTTTGTGGCCCTCAGAGCCCCAGGCTGGCTCCTGCTCTCAGGAAGAATGAGCAGTAGCAGCCAGCACTGGGGTTCTTTAAGGCTTGGGCTGGGGGTCTGCAACACTCCTCTCCCCCCTCAGCAATCTCAGAGGCCAGGCTCAGCGGCATGGCCATGGGCACGTAGGCCCTAGAGCACAAGCGGTGAGTGAAGGGAGGTGAACGGCACCTCCTGCCCACTGAAAATCAATAGGCAGCTGGTACCAAACTGTGGTTTGTGCCTTTGGCAGGCTGAGCACACAGCCTTGGTTGCATGAGGGTAAAGAGCCAGGCTGCTGCAGGCAGCATACGCCAGGCAGGGGACTTACAAAGTGTGAGGTACAGGCTAGCCCCAGGCCACTGCTCTCCTAGGGGCCAGCTACTTCGGGGGGAGGTGGGCTGGGATTTTAAACAGCTGCAGCCTCCCGTTGGAGAGCTAGGGCTTTCCTGATGCTTGTGTACCCTTGGGGATGATAAACTTTGCACCCACTGCTCCCGCTGCCTGGGTCAGGGTTCCCCTCCATGCTCTCTGAGCTGGCTCTAGGCCCCAGGTTGACCTGCATTCCCTCCGCAGGAAGCTCCAGCCACTTCTCCAGAGCCACTGAGTCAGCTAAGAGCACCCAGCCTCTGCTGCATCAAGCTGAGTTCCCCCCTTGGCCCCGGCTTGGCTCCTTTCCCTGGAGGCACTGCGCCCCAAATTCTGCCCCTGCCTTCTGGCCGAAAGCACCCAAAGCCCCTCACGCATTGGCAGGGGAAGAAATAACCTTAACAGCCCCCTACAGCCGTAGCGCCTGGTCTGTTACACCGTGTGACAGGCTGATCCTGCCCTGAGCCCCTCTTCGGCCCCAGAAGCTGGTACCAGAGCAGAGTGGGGCTGGGCCTTGCCTCTTCAGGGGCAGGTGAGGTGCAAACTTTGCAGCCCTCTCCAGCCACACAGGCCAGGCAGCTTTAGTCACGGAGCTTCAGCAACGCGGGGCGTCTCTCCGGGAGACGGGCAGCTCCAGGATGGGCTGGGGCCGACCCCACGGCTAGGAACCAGCCCCAGAGCGAGAGGCAGCAGCAAAGCAGCGGGGAGGAGGGGTGGGGCAGACCGCCATCGAGGGCAGAGGCGGTTTCTGTTCCTCCTCTGGGGGAGCCAGTGCTCTCCATGGCCCGGCGGCCCTCGCAGGGCAGGTGCTCCCCCGCGGCTCCTTAGGCGGGCGGCTTGCGGAAGACGCCCCAGGCGTGGAAGCAGCGGGTGAAGGGATGGGGCTCGTTGCCTTTCCGCACCAGGCGCAGCTTCCGGGGGTGCTCGGCCGCCTTCGAGCGCATGTGCTGGATGTACACCTGAAAGGGGGGGGTAGCCTCAGGCACTGGCCCCCCAAGGCCAGCCCCTGCTCCGTTCCTATTGCAGGAACTGGGAGGAGGCCCCGGGGAGCTAGGGCTGCTGGGTTCGCAGCCGGGGGCTTCAGCCTCTCAACCACCAAGCCTTCCGCTGTGCCAGCAGGGCCCAAACTCCAGCCCCAGGGGCTGATGGAGGCATAGCCCCGTGCCCCAACGGGGGTCAGGGCAAGGGGCAGATGCTGCAGCGTTTCAAGGGGAAGGGGCCAAGCTGCTGGAGCCACCCCCCAGGAACCATGTGCAGGACAGTAGAATCCCCCAACCCATTAGGGGGCTCTCAGAGCCTGTCTCCCCTCACCCCTCCTTGCACCACGGCTTTCATTCAGAGCCAGGGAAGCTCTTAGAGACGCTCCGGGGCAATCCCCGGCCCTGGGCCCGGCCCTTACCTGGCAAGCTTTCAAGCTCAGCTTGATTTCCACCTGGCTCGTCTGGGTTCCCACCCACATGTAAACCTGCAGGGAACAGCAGAGACAGCAGGGTTAGGGCTGCACTGGTCAGAGAACGGGACGAGCAGATACGCTGCAGAACACCCAGGCCTGGCTCATTCCCCGCAGCACATGGGCAGGGCCTCACACGGCATCTAACACCTCCTGGAAGTGGGAGGATCTGGGCCAGGGAGCCCAGCTGGAAGGGTCTGGGGGAGAGACCGGATTCTCTGGGGTTCCAGCGAGAGGTTCCCTACCAGGGAGCCTCGGCCCAGCTGCCAGATGCAGAAGAGTTACTGAGGACGATCATAACTACAGCCCCCTCCCCACTCCGCACCGGGGGGGGGGGGGGGCACCAGGCCCTGGAAACTCACCTCCCGGCCATTGTCCAGCAGCATGATGTCGTCATCCGCCAGGTCATCCTGGCAGAAATCGGAGCACTTCTCCGACACGGCGAAATAGCCCTTCTCGTTGGAGCACCTGCAGTGGAGAGCCAAGCCGCAGTTAGCGAGGGGGCGTGCCCTGCCCCGGGCCGGCCTGGCTGTCCAAGGCAAATCCTGGGCACCAGACTGCGGACAGGCCCCCAGTGGCCATGAGTTTGTCAGGTCTCAGCCAAGCCCTGGGGAACGTTTTCCCAAGCTCTACCGGTCCAGTGGGCAGCATGTCACAGTGCCTAGGGTTTCCTCCCCACTTGGCCAGCCCAAATTGGTAAGAGACAGCCCTGGTGGCTTAAGGAGCAGGCTGAGCAGGAGACGTGCCAGCCCGAGTTTGGAACAGGCACCCAGCGAACATATGCCAGCCGGGGACCTGTCTAGCCAATGGAGGCTCTGCCCATGGTGACAGCTCCCTCCCTGCAGGGCCCCGGGGACAGCAGCTGCCGGCACGCACCTGAACAGCCGTGAGTACTTCATGTAGTCGGCGTCTTCGTCGTAGGCCTTCTGGCCCCCGATGCCAACCCAGAAGAAGTTCTCCGGCTCCTCCCCTTCATTTATCACCTGGCACACAGAGCGGAGGGGTCAGGGTGCACTTGCGCGGGGGCTGGAGGGTTCCAGTCGGATCCTGAGTCGTCTCCTCCCCTTGGGCTCTGGGATCAGAGGCAGGGAGAGGACCGAGCTCTCCCTGGCTGCACCCCAGGGCAGGGGCTGGCTGGCGCTGGCTAGACCAGCCTTGCCCATCTGGCATGGAGAGCCACTGAGAACCAGCCACTGGGCCACGCTCACAGGGGCTCCGCCCTGCCTCACCTGCTTGCTGTATGAGTCGTCGAACATGTGATTCATGATGTCCTCGGCCAG